GTTACATATTTTTTTACGTAAAGTTACATATTTTTACACATAGAGTTACATATTTATACACATGAGTTACATTTAGCCTGACTGATCGTGAGTTACATATTTTAACACGTAAAGTTACATATTGTTACACGCAAATGTTAATATGTTAAAATTACATAGGCAATATTGGTCTCATTTGAAAGATCATGAAAAAAAAATTGATATAAATTTTATAAAAATCGGATCAAAAATAAAAAAATTATTAACATTTTTAAGAAAGGAGAAATAAAAAATAACAAAGACAAATGCAGTTAGATTGTCCGTAACGAGCTTCTCTTTCCTTGCAATTTGGGATGGTATACCATGCACACCGTGGAACGGTTGCATGGTATACGAACTGCAAAAGTGCGGGTAAAACCCTGGGGTCATCCCATTCGGGCCTGGAGATTTGTCCGGGTGCATAGAAAACAGGGCTTCCTTAACCTCCTCCGTACGTAAGGGAAGCAAGAGCTGGCTATTCTGAACCTCTGTAACTTTATGCTCAATACTGTAAATAATAGGCTCTAACAGTCCCTGCACAGAAGAAAAAATGTTAGTAAAATAATCCTCCACGATTCGCCCAATCTCCTTCCTGTCTTTCTCCCATCTGCCCCCCTTCACCCTGAAACCTTCCACTTTATTTTTCCTCCTTCTCTGCTTGACAGCTAGCGTTATGAAAAAAATTAGTATTTGAATCTCCTCCCTGTAGCCAATACACTTTTTCTCGCTGCTGCCAAAACTGTTGTTGCCTCTTAAGAAGTTCAATGTATTCACACCTGACTTTACAGAATTCGGCCACACAAAAATCATCATCTCTGCCTCGAAGGTACTGAAGTCGCCGTCTGCAAAAATCAATTCTAGCCCCTAGCCCTTTATTTCTGGCAGCCCCCCATCTAGCGATCTCCTTCCCACAAATCTCCACTTGCTTCAAAATGCCCCCACCTCTACCAATAGCCCAGCTATTCTCCACCACCTCTCTGCACTCTCCTTCACGGAGTCAAATATTCTCAAATTTAAAACGTCTCCGATGATTGACCTGAGCACTCCGCCGGAATTTAATATATAAAGGAAGATGATCACTAGACATTCCCTCCAAAGATACTGTCGTTGCTTCATAAAAAAATTCCTCCCCCATGCCAGAGACGAGGATACGATCTAGCATTTCCTCCACCCAATTAGAAGTGTCTCTCCCCCTCTCCCAAGTGAATTGATAGCCCTCGAACGGAAAACTAGCTAGGCCACTTTCCTAGACCGCTTCTCTAAACCCCTGCATCAACCACCCTGGTTGTGGAATTCTCCCCCGCTTCTCATTCTGAAACATAATGTCGTTGAAGTCGCCCATGACAAGCCAAGGAAGATCTGACACGGAGCTGAGCTGGCGTAGTAAACTCCAAGATTCTCTCCGTCGTGCACGCTCGGGACACCCATAAAAGCCTGTGAAACGCCAAGGCGAATCACCTGCCTCTAGTGTAATAAAAGTATCAATGTAGTGAGCACTCGAGCCAACAATATTCACCTTCACCCCGTCACCCCAGAGCAAAGCTAAACCTACGCTGTGCCCCACACAATCGACACAAAAAGAATTGTCAAAACCCAACTTCCTCTGAATTGTACTAATTTTATCACTCATGATCTCTGGCGGGCCTGCAAAGTAGCACCCGCCCCACATCCGTTTTTTGAAAAATATTCTGCTTCTTTATTTTCCAGCCCTTCCATGGCTTCCAATCCCACCTCCTGCACCCTTCTTCTTTTTCCCCATTCTGTCACTTTCCCCTACAGCAAAACCCCCTACAACAAAGTCCCAACACCCATTCCTTCTCCTCTTTCCGTCACTTCCCAACTCACACCCTTCTCCCTTTTCAATTCTCTTCCCATCCATTCCTCTGTTCCTGTATCCTTCCTTTATTCTCTTCCCCCTATTTTGGATATAGCCATGGACTGTCTCCACCGTCAAGCTCCCTCCGTCCTCCTGCCCGCATCCATGCACCATAAGGCATTGCCAACTCCCTTATCTCCCCTTCAACATGTGCTGGACAGTAGCGATCAGAATGACCCAATTTGCCACAAATAGAGCAAAAATTTGGCAACCTTTCGTATCGAAGGTCTACCCACACCCAATCTGTTCCACTACGAAGTTTCATCCGATGCTTCAAGGCATTATTAACATCAAGCAAAACACGCACACGGATGAAATTTTTTACTGGGCCCTTAAAATTCTCTTCATCGGCAGAAAGAAACTCCCCCACATGATTCCCAATCAATTCCGCTACCCTCGGTGTCATTAAACTCAACGGAATATTATGATTTGTAATGTTAAGTACATCTAACTATTTAAAGCTTATGATCAGAAAAAAGTTACTCTGTGCTACCAAAAGGTCGCAATAAGAAAAGTAAAAAGTTAAAACTCAAATTTTCAACCAAAACTCGGCCTAGCGATACTTGATACACATTAGAAAATCGGTATACCACACTTACCGTACCGAAAAATACCAAAAAATACCAGTATAATACCACATTTACAATAATGGTAAATGTTTTCAAATACCGCGATATACCGGTATAATACCGTACCGACTCCCTACCAAACAATTACTTTTAATTTTAAAAATATTGTAAAAGTCCATAACAATTTTGAAGCCCAAAATTAATACATATGTTGGTTACAAAACCCTAATGACTAATGAGTAATGTACTAATGTCCAAAAACAAGTCCATCTTATTCTAAAAGCTTGCGAGTCGCGATGGTTGAGTCGCTGAGTAGCTGATGAGTGAAGAATGATACACATATGTGACATGTGTATCTACATAGGGATTCCACAAATCGAGACACACAACGTTGTCCGAAAGTCTTATTCGATTTTTTTTAATTATAAAAATGACTAAATACATAATATCATATTAGGAATAAATGATTTTATATCCATGTTGTTTGAAAATTTTATTTATTATTATTAGAGATCACTGTTGATTTAATCATATCTATGTTCTTTAAGTTATTCTAGGAGAATGTGTTATTTTTTAATACATGGCATGTTGAACTGCTTAAATATACTAATAATAATTATTGTTCAATATTGAAAATGACATCAATAGATTATTAATGGTATTTGTAACATTTTAATAATGGATTAAATATGTCACTAGTAACACCGATTTAGCATATTTCGTTAGTCTATGATAATTTGTTGTATTGGAAAACATGCATGGCAATTTACCGATATCGTACCGTTATCGAACCGAAACTTCGGTATACCGAAATGCGGTATACCGAAACTTTAGTAAGGTAATAGTATATAAATTTTGCATATCGAAAGTTTTGATACGGCAAAGGTGTGAGAGAAAATATTCGGTATACCGTACCGAACCACCCTAGATACAGCCGCAATCAGGTGAACGACCGGATTTTGAACTGAAGACACTAAAGTAAAGTAAGAAAAGAAAAATTTATATATAAAGTTAAAATTCAAATTTTCCACTACTCAGTCTAACAACACACCCAATCTTATTTTCATTATCAACTTTTCTTGATTAATAACAATCAACTTTGATTAATGATATTTTTTAGTATGAAATTATTTTGAATATGAAAATTATATCAAAATGTTCTTTATTCGAAATATTTTCATAAAAGTATAAATTTTTTAAATTATATACAAATATAATCGTTAAAATTATTATACAAAGTTTATCATCATTGACAAAAAAACAATATGACAAACCTTTTCAGGACGGAAGTAGTATAATTTCCGAGCAAAACTCTACAAATTACAACAAGATCTTTTACCGGCTCGTGATGTAAAGAAGCTTAACATGGTAATTGTTGAGGGCGGCAATTTATATCGTACACCCGGTATGAGTACACCGATTTTTTGTAATATTTATCAACTTTAAGCCTTTCAAATAATGATTCTTTCATCCCTAACCTCTGAATTGCCATGATTTTTCACTTAAATTACAAAAATGCCACCGAAAAAAATGGTCTGTATTAATTAATGTGTTGTCTTCCTTAGTTGGACCGGATGTACATACACCCGGATGTACAATATAAGGACTCGTTGAGGGCAACTCAAAAAAACTTGATGAAAGTGACAAGAACACAGGACTCACTTAAGATTGTAGAATATTATTTGAGGACCGTTTCATTCTCTCTTTTTTTTATAATCCAGGTGTCAGGACTTGTGCTCTCATAATCCTGGGATCTATGAACTACCCTCCAAAACTCCTAGACAGTTAAATCCAAATCTGATCACAGTCAGCCTCGTCAGTACTGACTCTAAAATGACGAATCCAGCAGGACTTACATCACCTTTCAGGCTGTTTTTCCCACCACACGAATCCGCTATCTTCATTACCATCTTCTCTCTTCTCAGCCACTAAGCAACTCCATGAAGGTAAGAAGAATCATTGGGAGCAAAACCTCCCTCATCTTCCCTTGATTGAAATTGATCCCAAGACCGACAAAGGAAAGACTTGGAGTGGATGATCATTCATTGGACTACACCCACCAACCTTAAAAAGAGGACCGTTTCATTCTCTTTATACCCTGCTGGAGGGCAATAAATCTGTAGACAAATTTATACCCGGTGGCACATGGGGCCACAGGCCACTAAGGGTCTACAAACTTTATACCCAAACTAAATTATACGAGTACAAACTGCTAACAGTTTTAAAGAGATGCGACTCTGATTTTCTTTTTGTTTCTTTCTTCCTTCCATTTTATTAAAAAAATTTAAAAAAGTTAATAATTTAGTGTGCGAAAGCAAAAATAAAAGTGAATAATCTGGCTGATGGGACAAAGAAGAATGCATACCATTATACCGAACACCTAATATGTAGAAACCAATAAGCGCATGTAAAAATTAAAAATTTAAAACTTCTTATTATTGCAACAATGTCAGGAACAAGAGTTAAGGTTAATCCAAAAGCCTGAATGTGCCTCACAATGAAATACTGAAAAACAAAAATCAAAACTTGAGGCACAGTTAGCTTCTACTCCACTAAACATCTTCTACCTAGCTAAGTTGCAATATAACCATTTCCAAATTACATTACATACTATAATAATTGATCATGATGATGATAATAAGTCTGGGGATCTACATCATATCTAGACTTATCATCATACCCATAATTTACATGCCTATCAACAAAAAAAGCTTCATGAGGACTGTTAATAACCTGCGACATATCATCATCATCGTTACCATCATTGCCCTCCTGTACACTACTGAGATAGTTTGTACTAGCAGCCACAACAAACCCCTTGTTTTCCGAAAAGAAAGTCGTGTGGGGCCTACTTCCGGAAAACATGTTGCAAGCAATTGTTGTTCTCTTTGAGGTGGTATAGTCCGGAGCCATGTTCATGAAAGAAGACATCGGATCAATGGTGCTGCCATCTGCATAGTCAACTGTACTGAAAGAGTCACGTGTACTCTCTGTCGTGAAAGAAGCTTCATCTGAGCTGGTGAAAAGGGACCAGTCACTTGTCGCGGGGTCCATGTTCTCTGAATGCATCCCCATTAATGGCTGTCTGTTTCTACTTGCATTTCTGGAAACACTGCCAGAAGTGTAATGGTTTGTATTTCCTTTCATATGCTCAGGTCGTGAAGGTTTCTGAGATTTCAATGAGGAACACTGCTTTGACATGGCAGGGACTAGATTCCGGGTATTCTTGCTAGTAGTACAAGTTCTATCAGGCCGTGGGGATGACCTATAACAATATGCCGTGTATTGTTAACCACCCTGAATCAGTTGATAATAGGAAAAACTAATGCAAACCGAAACTTTTATTGCTGAAAATGGAAGGAATTTACGCTCCCCAATTAGTTTCAATTATTCTTTTATTACTTTGATTCTAAAATATGAATATATTACTTAATGATACGTACCGCATGTAAAATAAGATATATGCTCCTTCACTCATAACTTGGCTCGTATGAACTGGCTGAACCTGTCATTTTGAAGTGAATTTCAATGACCCGTCTTATGCGAAACTAAACTTAAAAAATGACTTAAGGTACAAAATGTGAAGTAAAAACAATTTCCCCTTTTCCTTCTTCCATTTATATATCTGCTGTATCTTTGCTTTTTACTGTTTTACAATAGACAGTTACTAAATCAAAGTACCAAACCAATCCAAAGATCGGTTGGGAAACACAAGTTAGGACTAAAAAAATTAAGAAAAACTTACCTTGGTATCATCAATCCTGAACCAATTGCCTTGTGTATCTTTCACATAGGATATATAATGCCCAGAAAAGGATGCATTCAATGTATCCAAGTGGACAACGACTGCGTAAAGCATGTAAAGTGGAGGGGTATCATCAGTCCCAGTCATGTATGGGATCATATCCAGCATCTCTGGGAAACTAATGCACTTGTTTATCTTCCCATAGCACCCTCCCTGATAATCATTGTAGAAAAAAATCATACTTTCTCTTTTCTTTACTTTTTTATTGAAATTTAGCTTTAACCAAGAATTAAGTACAAAAGAATAATGAATTAATTGAAAAGAAAATAGCAAGTCTGTAATGCATTATCTGCACTGTAATGAAAGGTCACCTGAAATCTTTTCAAGACAATAGTCAAGATATTTGGAGCTTCTTGTATGCTTAATTGTTTTTGTGCTCGAACATACGAAGCACACCTTATTTCCAAAAATGCAAAGAAACATAAGTTATTAAAAAATGTTTATGGTGTATGTGAAAAATATTACATTCATCATTGATTCATGTAATAGATATTTGATGATTATTTATGGTACCAATTACAAACCTTCCACATCTATACATATTTTCTCCATCAAGATCTTCAGGACTTGTAAATTGTGTTAATGCATCTTGAAGAGATTCAACCCAACCATATATTTCCAATGTAAGATCCATTATGTTTTCATTGCACTCTGACTCATGATGGCATCTTAAACACTTCACCTATGTTTAATCAAAAAATTAAAAAAACTGCAGTTACAGAACATAGCAACCAAAAATTGAAAATTTAAACATACTTAGGAGACGCGAAGATGGTTGTTGAAAAGAAAAGAAAATAAACATAAAACATCAAATAAAACCTTAGATCTTAGTCGTCCCCCAAAAGTGTGTTGTATAAAGGAGGTTTCTTGCAATCTAGGTTCACAAGCTCTCTCTCCACCTAAACCTTCCAAGCATATAGATTGCATTGATGCAACAAAAAGTCTACATACAAAATCACAATGTCAAACACATTGCATGGTAGTACGAAACCTAAAATAATACTTCATATCTTTATAATTAGGGTTTGTTTGGTAACAATCATTTAGCTCAAATGGCTGAATCATTTGAATTTTTTGAAAGGAAAGGTGTTTATGAACATCCATTTCAGCTAAACAAATGTGTCAAGAGCTACTTATTCTACTGATAGGCAGAATAAGCAGAATACGGCTACCAAACGGAACCTTACTCTCAAAAGTCAAAAGTAACCTTAAGAATTCATGTGCATCTTCCTGACTCCCATTCCCAATCTGGCTGTTTATGCTACGCATGCGCAAAAGAAATTTATTCGGAGACAGTGGGTCCCCACCCTCTCTTAACATCAGCACATGCTGCTCAAGTTCACACATGAGGCACCAATCTCTCCCACAGCCTGGTACATCCGTGAACAAGTAAAAAAAGGAATGTTTATTTTTTCTAATTTGAATAAATTACAACAACTATTATGCAGAAAAAATAAATAAAAAGATATCAAACAGAAGAAACAAATGCAAGAAATAATTTTATTTTTGGAGAAGTCAATTACCAGATTGAGAATGTGATCGATGAAGCAAAAAGGCCGTTAGAGGTTTGGTGAAGGTCAAACACTGCAAGACAGCATTGGCATAACAACTGCAAAAGTAAAACCAAAAAGAAAAGAGCAGCACCAAACCATAAACACACATTGTACTACTTTAAGAAAATAAACTTTTAGCACAGTTGATATTTTGTTAATAATGCTAAATTTGAAAAATAACCAAGACTCCAAAAGTATACCTATTCCCACAATTGATTAGTCCTCTGGGTGACACGTTGAGAACTTCATACTGGAAGTACTTCACAAATTCTTCATATGGAAACAGCATCTGTACAATTGATGAGAAGAGCATCAGACGAATTGGGTTTTAATTAATTGTGCTCAAAGTACACTTTCTAAGTAAAAGTATAATTTTATCACTCCGTAACACAGTTTAAATTGAGATGGGCAATCTTTTATCATTTACCAGTGCACTAATTCTTTCAATTATTTTATCACTTAAAGCAACTTTTGACTTCAAAGTAAAGTTAAGAAGAGCCCAGACCTTTAACTTCTTGTGCCTGTCATATTTGACTGTTGAATGTGCTTGTCTGTCAAGTCTTGATGACTTCATTAGACCAAACATTTTCATGAAACCCATATGAGCACCCCCATTGCGCCCCTGAGAAGGCATAGTCTCCTTTGTTTTAGCATTTCCTGCAAGACAAGTAGATTCTCATGCATGAATCAAATAAATTCTTACAGAATGATGAAATAAATCACTTCATCTACTTGAAGACCCTCCATCCCGAATCTGAGAACTTTCATTTCGTGTTACTTATAAAGCATGCCTGCCATCATACCTTGAGAGCTAAATCCTCCAGAGAGACCGTTTTCTCGGTCATATGTATCCATTTGACCTTCACATGCATTTGTCTCGTCAACTTCACAATCCAGTGCATCTGACCTACCATACTGATTTTTTGTCGGGTGATCAGGTTCGCTTTGCTTCTGTGACATCATATAATGGTTTTGCATGGCATTTTGGTTATCAGTATCTCCATTGGGGAAAATATGTTGTTGATGAGGCAAAGAGTTGCTCTCTCTGAACTGCACCAGACAAACATAAAAAATGAAGAAAACACTATCACAGAAATTTTGAAATGATGAGACAAAAAAAGAGAAAACCTTATTTCTAGAAGAGTCTGATGATGGAATTGCGCAACACGAAGTAGATGAACTAACTCTACTCCTAGACGTGTGGTCTGATATCTTTCCTTCTACTTTTCTAATAACATCTTTATTTGCCTTTCGAGAAGCTCTCCTCTCTCCAGGTCTTCTCTGTCTCAATGAATCTGGTGTGCTTATTGGAGATTCAATAATATGGTCCGAAGGGTCTTTATCAGACCTATGCTGCTTGCCTTTGCAATCAACAAACTGCCCACTCATGTTACTATCAAGTGGGATCTTTCCAGGAAGATCTTCCATCAAAGAATGCTTAGGAGATGAAGTATTCCCATTCTTTTCCAATAGACAGCACTCATGCTTGTGAATTTCCCTCCAGTGGAGAATCTGGCACTTTCCCGAACTGCATTGACATTTTCCCTTGATATAATTAGCTTGGATTGTTTCAAACTCATAATTTAGTATGCACTTCAGTGAGGTTTGGGGAAAGAAAAAGGCTGAAATATAGAAATGCAGGTCCTGTTCAGTGTGCTTTACTGCTTGGACAGTTCGGCAATGGCAAAATACAAGAAAAGAAAGTGAAAGTAGAGAAAGTGGGGAGATTTATAGAAACCCTTCTGTTTGGTACGGAAGAGAAAGAGGAGAGGGGAGAAAATATTGGGCCCACATATTTTTTTCCTACTTCTGAGAAAAAAAGGAGAAGAAATGACAAATTTTATGCTATCTCATTAACACCCTTTGATTAGGCTATGAATCAGCACTTTATATTACTTAACTAGGGCCTAGGGCCATTTTTGTTGTATAAAAATATTTTCATCCATTTCTTCTCCCTTTTTATCCAACCAAACAGACGCAGGGTGAATAAAAAATACTTTTTTTCCTGTAAAATATTATCTTTTATTTCTCTCTTTTTCCAACCAACCAATCAAAAGGAGCGTGAATAACAAACCCTTCATCTTCTCTCATGCCAGAATACCAAGCACCATCCATATTTATCCTCTCTTTCGTTTTCTTCACACAATTTCTCTTCTTTTACTTTATCCTCTAAACCAAAAGAAAGCATATGAAGAGACTCAAGATATCAGACACACTCAAAACCAAAACTATGGTCATACCAGTAGCGAACGGACTTGCATCTAGAACAGCGAGTCATCGCGGGACCACAGCACTTTGCACACTGATGAAGGGGAGCATTTGGCGAAGACACGGCCTCAGATTCAGTGTGCGAGACATTTGGATATGGTGAAGTTGCGTACGGGTGCAAAGAACTGTTTGGCAAAGGTACAGGTACAGGAAACGGAGGAAAGACACTGGCAGGAGCCATGTCTTCTACTCCAAAAGCTGCTTCAGCAGTTTGTTGGGATAGGAAACTTGCCCTCCCTTTCTTCTTTCCAGCCTCATTCCATTTTCCTAGTAAGATGTAAATGACAATAGGAAGCACAACTAGGAACAAGAACAGAACAAGAACATCGGTTTCACTTGGTTGGAGCATGTTCACAGCAGCATACTCATGTCCAGTTTGCTGAAACTGCTCCTTTAGAACACTGATCACCTTTAGCTACAAAGCTCAAAAGAAACTTTATCCTTTACAAATAGAGCAAAAGAAATAATCATACACAAAGTAATCAAAACTGCACTTAGCTTGAGAAAAATTATCAGTTTCAAAAATTCTCAGAGAAAGCACTAAAAGTGTACCGTTGGACAATTACTCTTATATAAAGACCAACATCCTAGATGTATGGGGTCAAGCACAAGAAAATGTATTCACATTTGCATGAAAAATCCTAAGAAAGAATTAGAAGTGCAATATAAGCCTATTTTATTACTCCCTTCATCCCGAATGAAGTTCCCGTTTCTATAAAAAGAATATTTTTAATAGGAAATGTCAGAACTAGTCTTTTGCCTACTTTTGCTTGATTAGACATAAAGTAAGGGTATATTTAGAAATTCAAAACAAAACATTATCTTACATAAAATGTGTGTATGTCCAAGAGGATACTTCTTTGTGTGAGTATATATTAGTAACAATATTGGTATTAGTATTAGCCTCCTATTACTAATAGAAATAATAGGTAAATAATAGTAATACAAGTTTTATTACTAATCTTCCTAATAGCCCCCAACTTATGAGCATGGTAGGGTTATGGCAGAATCTTCCTTGATAGAGCCAAGAGTGAGCAGTTCTGTCGTTGACAGAAACCCTAGTGACTATATGCAATTAAGCTAGGAGTTGTATGAAATTATTAATGTAGTCAACCCCCAACTTATACTACCCACAAATCTCCGTGAACAAGTAGATAGAGTCCTAAGTTCGTAATCTATGAGGCTATTACAAACTGCTACTGGAAGTATTAATTAAAAATCAAATATCAAATTGTATACGTAGCAGTGAAGACTAATAAGAACCTTTAGTCTATTACTAATAATAATAATAATAGGAAACTCATAATAATACCAATGCTAGTAGTAATATACAATCACAATTACCAAGGCTCGTGTAAAACCGTCTTGGTCCAAAAGAAAAGAACTAAACTAACCTAATTCCTTTGAATTGACAATTTGTCTTTTCGGAGTAGATAATTACACTCAAATGGGCACTAACCCTTCATTCATTAAAGCTTTAACAGTATGAAATACATCATAGTCAAAATCTATTCTAGATCATGTAATTTCTCCATATGCTAAATTGAATTTATTAAAAATATAAATAAAGCAAGTGCTTTCTCAATGATTGAAGTTTTTCTGGTGCCCACCATGTAAACAATAAATATATGAAATGGGCAGCACTTGTACACATTTGTAATAAGCCTCTATTTGTGTAGCTCTTGATACATAAAACTGTTTTAATTCTACCATCCAAGGTTTTACACATTTATGTCTTTAGGCGCTCCTTTCCAGCTGACTCTAATGTTGATGAACAACTTAAAAAGCTCCTTAAAAGGCTTCCAGTGAATTTTTTGAATAACTGAATGTTTTCTTTACTTCTTCACAAAGGGTTGCCAGTTTGTTTACAGGCTATGCACTTAACCCCTAGAAAAATAGACCAAATAATTACTCCACCGAGCAAATAACCCATCAAAAAGCTGCATTTGCAAATGCAGGCAAACCCACCAATGGGGGCAAGCATAAATCTGGGCTCCATCCATACATATACAATTACTCAAAGGTAGTCCCTCAACTCCCTGTCCGCGAGTGGAAATTTGGGTCACATAGTGAAAAGAAGAAACCTCATCTCCATAAAATACAAAGGAACTTAGACAGGATAAACAGTTCAAAAAAAAATTAAAAAATTAAAAAAAAATGAACCATGAAACCCAGCATTTCCTTTGCAGAGCATCTAACTTCCCTTCAATTATTTTTCAAATTAAACTCCATAAAAATCCAATCTTTATGCTATATTTGAACTAAACGCCAACACTAAGAGCAAATTAGGCAATAAAGCTCAAGATTTGGATAAAGACTGGGATAGTGCAACAGTACAGCCCAGAAAGATCATTCGGGTAGCTCCAGGATACCTTTCTGCATAATAGGTAAACCCGCAGAATAACGCTTGGGTCTCTTTTTCAGCTGTTCCTCTTCCTCTTCTTCCTGTCCCTTCTTCTTCTTAGTACGAAAAAAGATACTTTTATTCCTCAAATGGTAAGAAATCCACCGCTTCTGCTTTCTATTGGCCTGGCTTCACACTTCACAAATTCCCCCATCTCATCTCACTTCTCATTTTGTTGCACTTTAAGATTGGGCAATTCTTGGGTGTGCTCACTTGCACCCTAAAAGCTTCAGTTCCGGACAAACGCTTAGGCCAACTTTGGACTTGGTGTATACGATTTCGGACTTTCCCATCAGTGGGACCTTGAGAGGATCAATCGGGGCCGTTGATCGCACTTGTCAGGAAGTGAAGGAGCGAGAGAAGCCTAAAAATAAAATCCGTTTTATCTTTAATTTTAAATTCAAGAAGTGACAAACGTCTGAGATGGATGGGGCCCATCAGGAGTTGAGTTCCCAATAATGGGAAATTAGTGGACACGTGTACGGTGATGATTAGCTCGTGAGTCGAATGTCGCGAGTGGTTTGCGGTCGCAGATTAGTTGGTGAAATAATTCCCAAATTGTAATCGAGCGAATAAAGCAGGTCAGTAGATTACAGTTTGACCGCTGACGACTGCTAATCATAACGGGTCGGGTGGGTCGGGTCGGTAATTTCTATACGATGGTAATTGGTAAATACTGTAGTAAATACACCAATAACATGGCCTACCAATGGTACAAATGCGCAGGTATTGAACCTACACAAATCCAATTAATCTGAACAAAAATTATACTCCCTCCGTCCCGAAATAATCGTCCTGTTTTGACCTTCATACAGATTAAGAAAACAAAGGTTACTTCACACTGTAGCGACACTTTTTGTCACTGTAGTGACAATGTTTGACACTGTAGCGACACTGTTTAGCACTGTTTTGTATAGATTTGTTTACCAAATAAGGAAATGAGACAATTATTTCGGGACAGACCGAAAAGGAAAGCAGAACAATTATTTCGGGACGGAGGGAGTACCTTGTTATACGGTAGGAACAGCTCATGGTTAAAATGACACTCTCACTCTTAAATAGATATCAATTACGTTTAAGTTTTAGTGAAAACAATGCACGTGAACATTATTCGTGATGTAAATCTCGTATATTGAAATATAACTCATGTATATTGAAATATAACTCATGTTGTTAAGAAACGTAATTTCTGTTATCAATAAATGTAACTAATTCATTGGAGTGTAACTCGTGTTACTCTGTCCGGTGATCACTGACATTTTTCATATATGAAATGTAAATCACGTGCATTACATATGCAACTTCAGGCAGGTCAAAACGTAAATCGCGCATATGAAAATGTATTGATGGAGTATATGGCTCGGGGACCGCCGGCCCATAGACTCCCACTACTATAACAAAGGCCCAATAAGCTCAGGAAGCACAGCAGGCCCAAATCACAGTGCCCCAAGTGCCAAGCAGCCACGACGTACACTGGGATGCCTTCGCCCCCTGGCCGAAGGCTCATAAACTTACAGTACAGCTGCTTTTAAGCACTCGAAGTGTCTGGGAGAAAACGGCGAAAACAGTAGCCCTCGGCACTTAGAGCCCTCGGCACCTAGAGGCCCCCGGGATGAAGAGCCCGAACTATCATCTACAGCCGAAGGCATCCTCCTCGACAGAATCTCTCATCCATATTCGCTGGATCAACGTACCAAGTACAAAACGTCACATCCAACCACCGCATTTAATGCGGCCACATGCAATTGCTAGTGCCACCTGATACCTGAATCCAGCAACTTATGAATTTCAGCCCGCACAACTTCTTTCATATTAGGGTTAAGACGCCTTTGGGCTTGCACACAAGGAGTATGATCATCTGTAAGTAAAATTTTATGCATGCAAATCGAAGGACTTATACCTTTAATATCAGCAATAGACCACCCTAAAGCTTCCCTATACTTCTTCAAAAGATCTAACAACATTTTTTCCTCTTCAGGCCTCAAGTAAGCATAAATAATTACTGGAAAAGTATTATTATGCCCAAGAAAAGCATATTTCAGATTTGAAGGAAGAGGTTTAAGCTCAAGTTGAGGGGGTAATTCAATTGAGGGTGGAAGGGGAGGGGTGCTACTGCCTAAATCTTCATATTTCCTACTTAGATTACTAGCCAACGACCCTCGTCCTTCTAATTTTAACACACACTCAGAAAAAACAGAATCCTCCTCTTTTTCATTCAAACTAAGAGAAATGCATGCTTCAAGTGGTTCACTAAACGAATTTTTAGCAAAAGTTTCAGAGACAAGAGAATCAACTATGTCTAAAGCATAACAAGAATCATCAAAAGCAGGGAAATTAACAGCTTTAGCAATTGTAAATTCTTCTTTGTCAGCCCCAACCCTAAAAATCAATTTTCCTTGAGGCATATCAATCAAAACTCCACCAGTTAATAGGAAAGGTCTACCCAAAATCAAAGAAGTATCAGAATCACTTCCTATATCAAGCACAAGAAAATCTGCAGGAAAATAAAATTTACCAACTTTAACTAAGACATCTTCAACAACACCAAGTGGATACTTAACTGACCTATCGGCCAATTGTAAGGAAACAGTTGTGGGCTTAATATCAACAATTCCTAGTTTTTTGCAAACAGTTAAAGGCATTAAATTGATACTAGCACCTAAATCACATAAGCACTTATCAATCATGAAATTACCAATAGTGCAAGGAATAGAAAAACTCCCTGGATCCTTTAACTTGGGTGGCAGCTTGCTCTGAAGTATGGCGCTGCATTCTTCACTTAATTGGACAGTCACAAAATCCTCGAGTTTCTTCTTGTTTGACACTAACTCTTTTATATATTTAGCGTAAGAGGGCATTCTAGCAAGTGCTTCTGCAAACGGGATATTAACCTGCAACTTTTTAAATATTTCCAAGAACCTCTGGAAATTATTATCTTGGTTCCTCTTACGCAGCCTCTGTGGGTAAGGAATAGGAGGTACATATGGCTCAGGAGGAACGTATGGCCTTTCTACATCAGAGTCAGATTGTTGAACCTCTTTATCTTTAGAAATCGGTTGGTCAGTTTGATCTCCAGCCACCTCAGGTTCCTTAAATTGGTTCCTGAAAGTCTTGTCTTTACCTAGAGTGTTCTCATTAATGGTGTCTGGCAGATTTCTCCCACTTCTTAATGTCACTGCCATTGCGTCTCTTGGGTTAACATCAGTGGTAGATGGAAGTTTGCCTTTATCTTTCTCTGTTATCATTCTAGCCAATTGCCCAACTTGCACTTCCAGGTTATGAATTGAAGCTTGGTTAGACTGGACCACCTTGTCAATTTTAGCATCCATCTTCTTCATAGTGGAGTCTTGGTTAGCCATGTACTGCATGATCACTTCTTCAAATTGGGGTCTCTTCTCTGGTAGATGGACTTGGTAGGGAGGTGCTAATTGTGACTGAAATTGGGGCATTTGTGTTTGTTGGAACCCTGGAGGTCCCACTGGCCTAGCATTTCCCTGATCCTTCCATGAAAAGTTTGGATGATTTCGCCAACCCGGATTATACGTGCTTGAAAAGGGATCATTCTTTTGAGGCTGATTTTGTTTATTTCCGTAAGCTCCCATGTAGTTCACCTCTTCACCAGACTGTTGGTTTACACCTATATTCATGCAAAAGTTAGCATTATGTCCAAATAAACCACAACAGGCACATACCTCACTGGATTGACCATCTCGAGTCATCAATAGTTTCATTTGCTTATTAAGCTCAGCCAATTGCGTTGTCAAATCTGTTTGGGTGTTTACTTCCTGCACAATAGCCCTACGACCTCTTACAGCCTTTTGTTGAGAATTAATTGATAGATTTTCATAAATAGCCCACAACTCATCAGCATTTTTATCACCTGTATAACCACCTGAGGCGGTATCTACAAGAGTTTGGCAGTTCAGAGTAAGACCGTCATAAAAAAATTGAGTTAACAATAACAAAGGAAATTGATGGTGGGGACATTGTTTTAAATATACATTAAACCTTTCCCATGCTTCATGAAATAATTCCCTTTCCCCTTGAACAAAATTACAAATTCTACTCCTATAATCCATTGTTTTCTGGTTGGAGTAGTATTTGAACATAAATGCATCATAAACTTGTTCCCAATCGGTTAAAGAGCCCTCTGGCAGATTAAGTAACCACTGCCTAGCGTCACCTTTCATGCAATAAGGAAAACATCTCATACGAAGCTCATCTTCAGATAAGTTATTTAAAGGAAAAGTTTGTACTGTACTATAAAGCTCACGCATGAATCCTAAAGCATCCTCAGTTCCCAGTCCATTAAAGGACGGAAGTATATTAAGATGAATATTTTTAAGCTCATAATTTCTCGCAGCATCAGAAAGTAAAATACAAGAAGGGTTAGCAGCGATTACCGGACGTTGGATATCTCTCAAACGTGGAGGCGGCGGCACAATAACCTCGTTATTATCGTTTTCCATAACTAACCTTCTTCTTGTCCTGTTTTGCCAAAAAGTGCGCTCAATCTCAGGATCAAAGGGTTCCAAGTCCTCGTTAATTCGATTTCTAGTTACCCTTAATCGCATAAAAACCTGCACTTACTCAAAGAAATCTGAAGCACAACGATGATCGTAAGTGAAAAAAATAAAATAAAATAAAAACTAACTAATAGAAATAACCACAAAAAAAACAGTTTAAGCGCTCCCCGGCAACGGCGCCAAAAACTTGACCGCTTTTTTCTGCAAGTGTACAGATCGGTCGTAGTAAAACCTAGAGTATTCTAGGGTCGATCCCACGAGGAGCGCAAACTGATTTTTTATAGCTTGTACTTCTATTAATTCAAGAAAAAAAATTTGTTTCGTTTTGATTAAAGGGAAATGAATATTAAAATTCGATTAAAAAAAATGACAAGTAAACAAATGATAAAACGGCCCTAGGGATTCGGGATACACTTGATATTAATGGAAAATTCTTACCTGCCGGTTCAACAATTAAAGTGGTAATTGGTTCAAAAATATGCTAATACTCCGTCAAGCTCTTAGCACGTCCTAGTTAAATTAGAGTAAATTCGTCAATTAAACACTAAAATTAACTAGTCAAAAAGTGACAATTAAAATCCACCACAAATACCTAACTATGTCTAGTTTAGGTGATTTGCGTTTATTTTACGGGATCAAGTATCGTGCTTCACCCGTCGGTGCATCACACAATACCTAACAAGAAGTAGGCACGAGCTCTATGCAAAATTCACTAGGAAAATACATAAAATAAATTTAATTGGAAAAAATAATCAAGTGATTAAATTCAATGAACCAAAACAGCAAGAATTATTCACTCATATCAAGCTTTAATCCC